CCTTCCTTCCCTGTGACAGCCTTGCAGATTTGAGTGACCTGGAGAGAAGCAGCTACAGCCACCACGGTTACCTGTCCAGTGCTCCCCTGCACAGGTAGGACAGGGCGGGGCTGCCTGGGAGAATGTAGCAAGCTTTTAATCAGAAAGGATTTTAAGGTTTTGCTTTTTGAGGACACTGGTGTGTATTTGGTGAAGCAGTAAATGGAAATACRGTGACATGGACTCCATTGTCCAGAGCAGGCCACCAAGGTGAGCAGAGGGATGGAGCACCTCTCCTATGAGGAAARGCTGAGAGAACTGGGATTGTTCAGCCTGGACCTGGGAAGCTTGGGGTGACCTAATTGTGGCCTTCCACTGCCTGAAAGAAGCCTGCAAGAAAAATGGAAAGGGACTATTTCCAGGAGCCTGGAGTGACAGGACAAAAGGGAATGGCTTCCCACTGACTGAGGACAGGGTTACATGAGGTATTGGGAAGGAATTGTTCCCTGAGAGGGTGGGGAGGCCCTGGCACAGGGTGCCCAGAGAAGCTGTGGCTGCCCCTGGATCCCTGGAAGTGTTCAAGGCCAGGCTGGACATTGGGGCTTGGAGCAGTCTGGGGTAGTGAAAGGTGTCCCTGCCCATGGCAGGGATGGGACTGGATGGTGTCTTCCAATCCAAACCGTTCCATGATCCCATGATTCCAAGATCTGTCCAGACCCACTGTTGTGGTCTCTGYCCCCCTGGGACAGCCCATGTCCTTCTGTTCTGTCACTGCACAGTGACACGTGTAGTAGCAGGTGGCTCATGAAAAGCAGTGCTGATGGTTGGGGAAAAAATCCCTGGCAGCAATGCTGGGAGTTAAACCAGAGTGTCACAGAGGAATCCCCTCCCCTGTTCTTCCCAGGTCCAGTGAGCCCCTGTGCAGTTACTGCAGCCGGGAGATCCGAGACTGCCCCAAGATCATCATAGAGCACCTGAACATCCGCTGCCACGAGTACTGTTTCAGGGTGAGCCCAGTGCTGCCTGTGCTGCTGGGAGCTGCAGGGCTGGAACAGGGATCTTCCTGCAAATTCCATCCTCGGGCTTTCAGAGTGATGTATATGGGGTGTGCCAAATCCTTGCATCACATCGGGACAGAAACAGTCACAGGTGTCCCCACAATATTCAAGGTCCTTAAATAAGTGTTAGAACAAGAACTCTTYAGTAGTAGTAGAACCCTCAGCACACCCTCATGTCTTTGCCCCACTGTCCTTGGGGTAGACTTGCTGCTTTGTGGTCTTTGTGCTCTATGGAGGTGGCTGAATCCTCAAACCCTGCAGGGTTTCCAAGGAAAAGCTGTGGGGATGGGGATAATGGGAAGAGGAGGGATGGGGAGTGTGGGAGGACAAAGCCTGCAGGGATATTTGGCTGTTGTAGGAAAGTTCAGCCTCAAAGGTCACATCCTCACCCCTTTATATAATGATGCAGAGACTGTTGCTCTCTCCCCTCCCTTCCGTTGTCACTGTGTGGGGCTTTGGTTGCTGTGGGGCTTTGGTTACTTTCCAACCCTATTTGTYTTCTCTTTGGCAGTGTGGAATTTGCCACAAAGCAATGGGAGATCTCCTGGATAAAATATTCATCCACCGGGACATTGTCCATTGTGACAAGTGCTATGAGAAGCTCTTCTAGGTGAGTTTCAGGACCCCCTTCCAGAGTCATTCCCAGGAAGATGGCTGGGTGACAGTTCGGAGTTCACTGGTGAAGGGCATTTAACCCTCACATTGCCAGGGTGAGCAGGAAGGGATGCTTCTGGGCTGTTCAGAGGGAAACAGTGACCTTGTTGCAGCATGAGCTGGAAACTCACTCGAGTCCTGGGGGTGTTGGCTGGAGCCAGAATCTCAGCGACAAACAGGCTGTGGTGGCTTCCCAGGGGTGACAGGCAGAGGCTGGCTTGAGTGATGACAGAAATGTCCCTCAGAGGTGGAAAGTCCTCATGGAAGGCAGTTAAAGGTTCYTCCCTGTGTCCTGGGCTGACCCCGTGCAGGGACTGCGAGTGGTTCGGAGCTGTGATATTCCCTGGACAAGGAGGCAGCTCCTCGGTGGCAGGCGCAGCTACTCCTTTACATAAAGATACTTGGAGGTGAAAACCTTTGGGAAAAACCAGAGTTGTACATCCCAGCAGATCAGCAGGGAGTGAGTTAGACACGGTTTGGTTTTGTCTGCTTMTCTGGAAGGGACAGAAGGCACTGTGACAGTGAGCAGAGCTGCTGTGCTGGGGCTGGGAGACCTCGTGTCCTCCCGCTGCCTCCCGGCAGAGAGCAGGAGGAGGGGCAGGGAAAGGGGCTCCTGCCACGCTGCTCCCCCGTACCTGCTAATGGGATGTGACTGGTGAGGCTGTGCCCGTCCCTGCGTGCTCCAGCTGGGCTGTGCCACCCATCGCTGAACGCTCCCGGCTCCACCAACCCCCAACACCGCGTTCCAGGTGGGACTCAGCCCTGGCTCACCCGTTCCTTGTGTGCTTCCAGGGCTCTGCAGAGCTGGGAGGGCAGCCCGTGCTGGGCAGCAGCACGCCCGAGAATACAGCAGCTCCTGACTGGCTAAAATCGCCGAATCCCTGCTCCCACTTTCTTCAAGTTCCTTTGCCTCTCGCTGCCCCGTGGCCATGAACGAGTTCAGCATCTGCTGGTTGATGCTGTCACCTGCATGAGATGAGTGTGATGGAAACGAGATAAGGCAGCCTCATCCTCAAAAATAACATTTTCTAGAGGTGCTGAGCCCCTCATGGCTTTAGCTGCATGAAGATTCCAAGTGCTCCTGGAACTGGGAGTCAGGCACAGCTTCTCAGGTTTAKCAGAGCTAATTGCCACAAGTCTCTCCTGATTATATTTGTATTTCTTTCCCATGTGCAGCCAGGCTGTGTGAGCTGGCACACAGGCACTGGAAGCCTTAAACACTAAATTTGGATTCTTGGGAGGGTTTGAATTTAGTCCTTAGTGAAAGCCTATTTCTGCTTCTTTCACCCCCAAATTCAGCCTAGAAATAGCTTCTGCCTGATTTCCATTTGCTTTCCCCAGGATTCCAGGAGCACTTGCAAACTCTATTCTAATTTGTGTCAGCTTTAATTTCTCTTCCTGTCTCTTCCCAGAGGATGTTGCAGCAGCTGATGTTGTGGCTGCTGCCCGTTTGGGGAGATAACAGTGGCCTTCACTGRTGTTTACCTTGGGCTCTGAGGGCAGGTGTCTCATGTGCCAGAGCATGGCCATCTCAATTCCCCCTCCTGACAAAGAGCACTGCTCAGCTGAAATCCCAATTTTCCCCCCTCATGAGCRCTTTTGAGACTCATTGCTGTGAATTATTTACAGCCCAAATGCTCGCTTACAACATGGAAAACTTCCAGTGGATGCTGCACTCAGTAAAATCACAATTGTATTGTTTTAGCCCTTAACTCAGAGGTGAGAGGTTGGGAATGCTGAATACAGAAGCCTGAAAGGTGCCTTAGAAGTGTCTAGACTYACTGTTTTCTCATGTGAAGCATTAGCAATCATAGAACTGCAGAATCCTAGAAATGGTTTGGGTTGGAAGGACCTTAAAGTTCATCTGTTCTAAAGTTCATGGGCAGGGACACCTCCCACTGTTCCAGGGTGCTCCAAGCTCTGTCCAATCTGGCCTTGGACATTTCCAGGGATCCAGGGGCAGCCACAACTTCTCTGGGCAACCAGGGCCTCACCACCCTGACAGCCAAGAACTGATGAAAACCATGTGCAGAAGTTCCTTACTGGGACCAGTTCCAGCTGTGAAGAAKGACTGGTACAGCCACTGCTTGTTCCACCAAGGTTCAAGAGAAATGRTTTCAAGTACCAAAGCAGAAGGGCCTGTGCCACAGTGCACTTTGAGAAGATCTGCAGAAATAACATATTCCCTGATTCCMGAGCCCCCGATGTGTCCATGGCCATGGGGAGCTGGATTTGTATGGGTTCTGCACAGCCTCCCCTCAGCTCTGTGTCTCCTGTAGGAAGTGTCTCACCTCTGTACACAGCTCTAATAAACAGCTTCAGCTCACGTGCCGCTGCCCCACCTGTGTCACACCCTCCTGTTTGTGCCCTCTGAGCTCAGGTGCTGTGTTACTCATGCTCCTCAGTGGCCCATCCATGAAGTAACCAAAGGCTTTGTTGCAGGCTGAGGCAATGAGGGAGAAGAGCAGCAGGACCATGAAAACAGGGTGTGCTCAAAGTGGGGGTGGGCTCAGCAAACTGGCTTGGCAAATCCAGTCTGATGTTCTGCAGAAATTCCTAAAATCCTGTGATTACTGGGGAAAAAAGGGCGCCCTGATCCCCAAGAGTCTGTGTTTGAGACSGACTGAGGGAGCTGGGAAAGAGGCTCAGCCTGGAGYAAAGGAARCTCTGGGGGAAACCTTCTGGCTCTGCACAACTCCCTGACAGGAGGGGGCAATTATGGTGGGTCAGGCACTGCTGCCAGAGAACAGGGACAGGAGAGRGAACAGTCTTGAGTTGTGCCACATTTAAATTGGATATTGGGAATATCTTCCTCCTGGAAAGGGCTGTCCAGTTCTGGCACAGCTGCCCAGGACAGAGGTGGAATCCCCATCCTTGGAAGGATTTAAAATCTGTGTAGATGTGGCACGTGGGGACATGGGTTCGTGGTGGCCTGGCAATACTGCGGGAATGCTTGGACTTGATCTTCGAGGGCTTTTCCAGCCCCAGTAATCCCATGATTCCACGATCCTCAGTGTATATGTGGGCCCTGAGCTGAGAAATCATCCTAGGATCCACTGAGGGGTTTGGGCTGTCTTGGGGGTCCTGCCTGTCCTTTTCTCACACATTTCTGGGATCAGAAAATGATACCTGTGTGTAGCATCATCCCAAAGGATTCCATGGTATTTTTCCCCCTTAAAGAATGTATCACCCAAAAGGAACCTGCAGCTGCTCTAAAACTGTTATGCTTTGTCATTTGTATTGGCTTGAGCTTTGAAGAATTGCTGACCTACAACAAAGAAGAAATGAATTATTCAAAGAGGTGAATCTTCCTATTTCCTGGTGTTTGTGGAGAAGGGTCACCGGCACACAGACTTCTCCTATGTGATGGATGAGGTCATGCATTTTCTTTCACAAAAAGATCTTATTTCTCTTGGGATTCTACTGCTTGTGGGGCAAATCTTGACCAGGTTGTTTCCCATGAAATCAAATAAATAAATAAATAWATAAATAWATAYATAAATAAAGGCTATGAAATGTGCTGGTGGTGACTGAGCAGAAGTGAAGGCAAACCCATCGTGGCATTGCAGCTCCTATGTGGTGGCACAGACCAAGAAATCCTGTCTTCTGCACAGACCAAACCTTCCCAGAGCATCGGAAAATTWACAACGACAAAATTAACTGTAGCCCAGCTGAAACCAGGACAGACCTTCAGGAGTCAGTGCTGGACACAGCGCTCAGACCAACTGGTAYGAGATCCTGCTCATAGCACATGGCCTTGGCTCCTTATCAGGAGATGCTCCACATCCAATGCTCCTTATCAGGAGATGCCAGAGGGTRTGTTTGAGTTCAACACACACATGTGGGAGGAGGACATCAAAGAATGGTGGTAGTTTTATTGTGGCCTGATAAAAGTGTCCTGAAGAGACGTTACACTCACGAGAGCTTTGGGAGATCCCAGCTAAGCTGCATTTTGTGCATTTTTATGGATCACATGCACAGGGAGAGACCCTTTTCCCCCTCATTTATSCTTTCTAATCTCACCCCTTTCCTCCTCGAGGATCTTCCCCTCTTCCTCACTTTTCCCTCACCTTTCTCACCTGCCCTTTCCTCCTTCTCACTCTCATACACCCTTTCCCCCTCACTTACCTCCTCCCTTACCAGCTCAATTTCTAATTCCCTCTTTCAGCCCTCACCTGTTTCACTCCCCTCTATCTCCACTTTCCCCCTCTATCTCCCCTTTCCCCCTCTATCTCCCCTTTCCCCCTC